TAGTTTTGTTGTGAAAGTGTCAGATCTTTTGATTCGGTTCTATCTTGAAATTCGAATATTAAATCATCTAGTTGATGTGAGCGATCTGCAAGACACACTATCAATTCGAAATTTGAAAATCATTTTTTCTGTTAACACAACATTCATTTAAAAATATTCTTTTAATTTAGTTTTTATTAAATCTTCAAATGTTTCTTCATAAGTATCATTAAATAATTCTTTAACTTATATTCATACAATAAGTATTCGACAATCGATAATTTATTTTATTTGGTTCATGTTATGCATCAAGTATAAATAGTGCAATACAACAGTAAAATAAATAAAAAAAAAAAACGAATTTGATTTATTCTGTCTATTTTTTTGTTTTCTATTTTAGTTTTTATTGAACTAAAAAATTAGTCTTAAAAAATATATTAATAGAAATGAAAGTGATTTTCAAGCAGCTGTACTCGATTTACTTGTTTAATTACTTTTAATTCGTGTTAATTATAGTTAATTAGAAGCTGATGAAATTCGTTGCATTTCTAATCGTTTCGTTTATTTTTAAATAGCATTTTATTTATTGTATTGTTGAATTTCTTGTTATGTTATCACATGATACACTTCATTCAAAACGAGTTATTAAAATACAAGATTTAATAAAACATTATGATTAATTATTAGCAAGTGGACATGAACCTGAAACGCATGGTAGAAAGTAAAAAAAAAAAAACATTTTCGAGAAAAAGAAATGATCGTTAAAATTCTTTATTTAGCTTTGGCAGCATTAGAACCAGTTTTATATGATTTTTTTTCTTGGTCGAGTTATGCAAATAATTAAAATTCCTAAAAAGTTTTATTAAATGAGAGTGAACAAAAAGTGTCCTTCTATAAAGTCTCAAATATCTTAGAAACTCGAGAGGGTGTGAGTGTGGGTGTGTAAATGTAATTTTTCTCCTTGATTGAACCCACACCCACACTTCAACGAATCGATGATCTGAAAATAATCATCTTGTTGTTATGTATCTGAGTTTGAGGGAAAACTAGGCATCTTAATTATTATAAATAAAAGTATCTTTTCATATCATGTGTATGTACTGAAAAAATAATAATAGAATTTATATTGTTATAGGCTTTACGATTGTTCACAGTTATTATTGATAGTGTTCGAAATGAAGATGATAAATGAAAACGTCTTTCACGACAAATTGTCGATTTACTTCTTGCTCATTTACAATCTCAGGTTATTTTTCTTTTAATAGTCTCTGATTTTACGTTACTTTTTTTTGTTCAAATAGAATCAATCACTTTTGGATATTTATTCCACACAATTAACACTATTTGATGTTGCTTTTCGAGCGTTAGTAAATAGAAATGTCGGTTGTTTTTATTTATAAAATTTTTCTGTAGTTTAAATTTTTTTTTAGAATGTCAATTGTCAATCTACAAATCGATAGTTAATCAATATAAATATAATACTTCGATGTCTTGTACAAAATTTAACTGAAGATGCTATATTAACACGATACAATGATGTTTTATCATCAGTTAATGAAACACGAGATGAAACTTTTAGTGCGTAAGTATTTGAAATGATTTTATTTATAATTTAAAAACTATTATTCTCGTTTTTGTTTTCAGAGCTCTTCTTCGTGTTTTACGTGACATAATATTATGAATTTTAACTAATACTCGACAATTATGTGGTCAAATCAATATGACATTAGTTTCTCTTGCATCCGATTATCTTTATGTACATATCATCCATTAATTTAAAGATAAAACTTTCCTGCAATTCATTAATTACTAATGACCTAGCGAAAAACATTTGACGTTAAAATTCCTATGCTTATATAAGATCTATAATTTTATTTTAGTTAAACAATTTCGAACAATTGTAAATGATTTTCATCAATTATGAATTCATGATGAAACTGTACATCATCTTGATACATTTTCATATTTAACTATTTTAAATGAATGTTTTAAATTATAATGATCATCATTTTATATCTCATTATTATTACAATGGACACATATTCTGAATATACTTGATTATATACAAGAAGCATGGTGGTCACCAATATTAACACCATCATCAAGAATACATTTATCTATCAGTGGTCAATGACAATCTTATTGTGATTTAATATGTCATCATGAATTATATGTTGAACATTTTATATCAATAACAACACATTATCAATTATTATTATTATTTTTTATTTTATCTTATACATCATACATCAGTTGCAAGTCATTTATTTTTTTGTGAAGGAATACATTTATATGAAAGTGGTCTTATATTGGTTTTATTAATTGAACAATTTCTTCCATTACCATTTAATAAACAATTATTACCTAAATATATACCATAAATTTTACAAATATTATCAATAAGAATATCAATCGATATTATTAAAGAAGATTTTAATAATCTTAATTGTCATATGAATATAACAAGAAAAATTTATGAACAAATGTTTAAAAATATAACTTATAAAAAATGATTACCATTTATGATGTCACCGGTATATTTTAGTTTAATTTATCTAAATAAATAAATATATATGTATAATAAAAATTTTAATCCAATTAAAAGAAATGTTTTTGTTTTTACTTTGACATTGTTTATGTGCTAGTAATAGATGAGACTTTTGAATAATTCAAAATTTCGAAAAATATTTTGAAATAGAAAATATGCAGAATTTCAGGTAATACAAATCGTAAAGGAAAGCATTTAAACTACATTAGTACAATGACCGAATAATTCCTCTCGAATCTTATTGATCAAATTCTCAGTCGTGCTATTTGTACTATTACAATTAAAGAAAACGACGTCTTTCTAATATTATATTTCGAAATAAATTGCATTCGAGAATTTCGATAAACTTTCTATAAGTTTGAACTCGTGAACTCCGAAAACGTATTGGATTTTTTTCCACAGCATTAAATTTTTAGGATGATTCTTATAGTAAATGAAAATTGATTTGAGAAAATAAGAAACAATATAAATCTGTTCTTTGTTTGTTTTCCTAGGATTTTGTATATTTATATCAAATGAAACAAATTAAAATGACATTGAAACAACACCTAATACAATTTATGAAAAAAGTCTTTTATCATGCTTTTAATAATCAACCATATTCAATTGTATTCATAGATTCTCTATCAATATATTTTGATAAAATACAAAATCATGTTGAATTAACATGTCAATTTTCAACAGGTGATATACATGATTTATTACGTTTTATAATATTTATATCAGAAATAATTTATATAAATATATTTCAAAAAAAAAGCATCATTTCTTAGTTGTGAAATAGATCAAATAATATCATATTGTACGTTACCGAAAACACTTTTATCAATATTTGAATATATTTATCAACGACATGGTTTAACTATATCAAATATATTACAATCATATTTAAATTTAATTGAACCAGATAAATGATCTTGATCATCTTTATTATTTAATAAGAAAAATTAAGTATATATATCATGTATTTATTGACATGATTTACATTGTATAGCTATATTATTATTTTGTTTACCAATATTTATATAAAGACAATTTTGGAGTTGGTTGATTATTAAGAATACAATTTCAAGAAATATAGGCTTCATTTTTAGCTTCAATTAATTCATCACAAATCAATCTAATGATGAAAATAAACAAACAACAAATAATTTTAAAAAAAAAGAAGAAACTTTAGAAACAAATGCAACACAATGGTAACAAGATTGAAAAATAAACTAGATTTTATCTGTTTTTTTTATCAATATTAGATACAAGTTCAAATAATTTATTTACAAATATTGAACGGTTAGGTACACGTGATTTATTATCCTATGGACAACTTTCATATGATACTATATTAACATCAATCCAAAGTAATAATACATTACCATTATCAGTTAATGTAAGTCTCACATATGTTTTAATAATCGACAAATAGAACTCTAAGTTAAGAGAAAAATAAATTTATTGCTAAATTATTAATTTCATCAAACAGAAAATCTAGTGTTTCTTTGACTTTGATTTGATATATAATACATGCAAACTATCTTATTTCATAGAGATAAAAGATTATATCAATAATTTCAAATAAATTCTATCAATCAGAAAATTAGAGTATGAACATTTTCTTTTCTGGCATCCATCTTTAAAAATATATAATTTAGAGTTTATTTGATCGAATATTTTTTCACCATGGTCTTGATTTAACATCATCATTACAAATTCTAATTGAAATATATGTAATATGAATTAATAGGTTCATTTATATATCTATCTGATTTATTTCCATTATTATAACTTTTACAAATTTATATGATGAATATTTTCGTACATGGTTTGATGAAGATGCTTTAATGATATCCTTAATAAGTTATAATTTATGTAAATCTAGTATATTACTTGAACAAAGAACAAAAGAATATAATGAATTATATATAAATTTAATTGAACGTAATTATAAATTAATAACTAAAACTCATGCATATGCATCATGTTTATTCATGAAGCTGATTTAAATTCATATGATATTTGATTATCATTAATTAAAGATGATAATTTAATACAAAAAATTATATCAATTAGTCTTGAAAAACTTTTAATAGTTGGTCAATATCCCAAAAATGATATATGGTGTTAATACTTACACGTATTTATACATTATTACAATGACCAAATAAAAATACAAAATCCATTAAATAATAAACATGTTAATAAAGAACAAACAATAATTGATAGTTCATCAATAATATCATCATCAGATAATATTCTTATTGAACTTGTTGAAGAATTATATGCACATACAAAACAATCATCAACATTACCATATGAAGCTTTACTTTTATTACGTCCTTTATCATTATTACTTGCACACATTAGTTTTTTTTTCGTGCTTTAATTAATGCCCGTTATTCAGCTAAAGTTAATGAATGGACTTTATTATCAATGACAAATATTGCACAAAGAAAAATCACAATGTATGGCTATATGGGAGTTAACTTGTCTTATGTTAAGTGCATGTCTATCACAGGGTGTGGGTATGGATGAAGACAAGACCTATAATGATATCCACACCCACACCATCTTATGAGTAAAATTCTGCCTATGGTTAAATATTCTTCCTAGTTTTCTTTTTAAAAATTATCAAGACTTACACATACGATTAAAATTTATTTGGAAAAGATAAATAGTAAAACATTAATGAAAAACAAAAACTCTTTATTTCAATCCGAAGGAATGACGATCAATACAAAATCATATAAATTTCGTCATGAAATGTCAAAATGAATTTTCATTGATAATATAGTATATATTTTATTTTTTTAGGTTTTTATTGATGTTATCACGTTTCAGTGTTCGTTTCGAAGAATCAGGCAATCGTTTATTTCTTATTGCTGATCGAAAATAGTCTCTGCAAATATCAATTATATCAACAAAAAAGCAAAATCTATTTTATTTATTTTAGTTAACGAATATTGAACATTGACGTTAATTTGAACAAGCATTCATAAATGAATCGAATCCAGAAAAATTATATGCTGATTTACTTGAACACATTCAAAATACGGTGTGGATGCAGATGTTGTTTGGATATGTTGATGAACCATATACTCTCTCTCCCTCTGTCATCCATGCCCGCATCCTCAATAAAGACTAAAAATATCAATTCATAAAATGGAAACATAGCAACAAAAATTAATTTATCTACTTTTTTTCTTTTTACTAGAATTGGTCTCTACTATAACAATCATATCTAAATTTTCTAAAACCAATCAGAATAGATTGTCATTTATTTTGTGCTCTAATTTCTGTTTGGCTTATTGATTTATATTTCATATCGTATGTTTTATTATGATTTCAATCATTGATTTAACTAGTAAATAAGTCGATTACATGTATCTATTAAACATATTTTAGCCATTGAAGTTTTAACGAAAACTTTTCTAAATCATGTCGTTAGAGTTTAAGAGAAATTTGCACAAATCTGGATTAAAACTTGTATTTATAACTAGTACTTTTAATAATATCAAGAAGAATGTGAATATAGATGTTGATATTCTGTTTAACCACATCTACAATCTTTGAATCGTTTTGGTTTAGTAGATTATATGTAAAAGCAGCTACCATACTTCATCCTATTGAACTATTTTCTGAAAATCCATTGAAAATGATAAATTCAAAAAATCTCGCACTACACAATTGTTTCTCTTTATTCAAATAACAATTCTTTTTTCTTGATTTATTATTCGTATTTTTTATTATTTTATTATCAATACAAAAAAAATTTCATAATAAAGAATAAAATTGAATATTTTAATGTAAAAAGCAATTTCATCATGGACACTATTTAACGATAACTATCAGAAAAGGAATCAAACCAACTTCCACAGGTTCGAGTTCAATTCGATGCCTGACAAGCGCGGTATTATCCTGTAAAATTATTTTAGATTGTAAATTTCTGAGAATTTTTTTAATGAAAAGCATAAGTTAAAACTCAACGATACAATCATCAAAATGCATGATTTCAGAAAAAATAAATCATAAATAACGAAAATCCAATCATCACTAAAGAATATTCTTTAAGAAAATGATCGCACCATGTTCCTGTTACATTCTAAAGATACTAAAAGGCTTGTAAACACATTCTAGAATAC